GAAAGGCAAAGAAACTCGCTGATGAAGATGAGATGAAGATGACCGAGGGAAATAAAGGAAAAGGAAAGGAAATGAAGAAAAAAAAAAAAGAGGACGCCGCGCCGGTACAGTGTCGTCCCGTTTGGTAGATGAGAGAGGAAAAGAAGAAAGATGAAAAGAAAAAAAGGCACGGCAGTAAAACAGACAAGAAGAGAGGAACAGACAGAACAACAGTGAACGCCGGTTGAAGTCAAAAAAGTCGTGGGTATGTAAGTGGTATCTCATGAAGTAGAAGCGGGGAGTAGTAGTAATGGCGGCGGTGGTGGTGGTCGGATAGAAGAGAGGCAGGGGAGAGAGGGTTATAATATGCCCGAGTCCTTGAGGGCGTTTTGGAGGATGGTCTCTTTGACGGCGGCAAAGACCAGCCGGATGTTCGACGTGTCGGTTGCTTGCGTCAAACTGAGCACGTTAGTATAGGCCTTGAACAGTAAGAAAACGAAAGAGCGTACGCACTGAGGATAGAGGTTGAGGTGTGCGCGGTTGACCTGGTTGAACCGCCAGAGCAGGTACTTGGCCGCGCGGTTGACGTCGTTGCCGCCGGAGTAGTCTGGGAAGTACTTGTTGAGCGGGGAGCGGCCGAGCTTCTGGCGGAAGAGGTCGACCTTGTTGAGGAAGAGGACGATGGAGGTGCGCATGAACCAGCGCGAGTTGACGACGGAGTCGAAGAGGACGAGGGACTCCATCATGCGGTTCTGGTTGCTTTCCTCGAGCAGGACCTGGTCGTATTCGCTGAGGGCGACGCAGAAGATGATGGAGGTGACGTTTTCGAAGCAGTGGATCCATTTCTTGCGTTCGCTGCGTTGCCCGCCGACATCAAACATGCTATCGAAGTCAGTATACATATAGAGATATTGTGTGGGTGTGACGTACTGGATGGAGAGCTGCCCCATGGTGAACCTGGTCTCGTAGATGCCGGTGGTCTTTGTTCGGGCGCGCAGGACGTCAGCCTCGTTGGGGATGTAGTCTGGCATGGTTATCCGCTTTGCCTCCTCGAAGAAGCTATAGAGCATTAGCATATGACTGCAGATACGGTAGGGAGACGTACTATGGGGCAGAGTCCATGAGGTAGAACTCGTTCTGGCGCTCGAGGACGGCGGGTATGCTGGGGTCGTTCCAGAGATATGTGATGGCGTCTCCGACCTTGAGCTCGAGGGCGACGTTGGGGTCCGGGTCGATGTTGTAGTCGAGCAGGTAGTCCATGAAGTCGCGGACTTTGGCGCTGGAGGGCTGAATCTCGAACTGGTGCATGGCCCAGACGAGCGATTTGGCGCAGTCGAGCAGGTTCTTGTAGACGGTGAGGCGGTACATGGACAGCTCCTCGACGGAGTAGCCGTTCTGGTGGATAATCTTCATCTGCTTGACGATGGTCGACTTGCCGCTCTCGCCGGAGCCTGTACATCTTAGCATGCAGTCATCATATCAACGGAGAGCAAGAGGAAGGATAGGGAAGAAAGGAATACCCAAGAGAAGGATCTTGCACTCCTTCTTGAGGCGCTTCATGTCTTCCTCGAGGACTCTGTCTATGGCCTGGCTCTTCTTCTTCTGCTCCATAATCTCGTCCGACCCGCTGCCGGCCGAACTCAGACATCCTCCCATCCTGTCCGGTGGAGACACGGCGACTGAATTATACGAGGCAGGCGATGTAGCGGAGGTCGATGCAATAGCGATAGAGTGGTGTTGAGGTGGTGGTTATTGTGAGGCAGGCTGTGCGGAGGAGGCTGCAGGCGGCGGCGACGGCGGCGACGGCGACGGCGAAGGCGAAGGCGGCCGTCACAACAAAGACGTCTTTGTCCTTCTTTATGCTGTCGGCCGGTCGTCTCCTGTCTGTCTGTCTGTCTGTCTGTCTACTATGGACTGTGACTGTGACTGTGTATCGGTCTGGTCGTGTGGTAGAGGCGACGGTGGATCCTGGGCCGGCGAGACCCCAGCGGCGGAGGAGGAACTCAAGGCCAGCAGCGCATGGACGAGGCCTGTCTCTCGTCTCGCTCGCTGGTGCTGCTGGCGGTCTCTGGGTCTGTCGCAGGCGGAGGACTCGAGCGTCTCGCAGGGGCTGTCGATGGCTGTCGATGGCTGTCGGGAGGAAGACGAAGATCCAGAGAAGTCCAGCTGACGAGGAGGAGCGAGAAAGACAGCAGAAAGACAGCAAAGAGAGAGAAGAAGAAGAAGAAGAAGAAGAAGAAGAAGAAGAAGAGAGTAAAGGAAGTAAAGAAGAGGAAGAGAAAAAGCAAGGAAAAGGCGGGCTGTTAGGTAAGCGTATTACCCACCGTTACCCGCAGAAGTTGGCAGGCGGCGAGGGGGCAGCGGGCGGTATCTTACAGGACGTTACGCCAGATTTACGGTGAGACCAGCGATGGACTATCAGACGATATTGAGGATATTAAGAGGATATTAGAGAAGAAGAGAAGAAGAGAAGAGAAGAAGTCAAAGAGAGATGTCAGAGAGAGGCAGGGAAGACGAGATCTTGCGGCCGTCGCTTGCCCCGGCCATGCCATGTGGAAGCGCCAGGGATGCTCCGTAGGCTGCGGATGGACTTCTTAGTAGGCGCAGTAAGACAGTCAACCGGCAGAGTCGAAGGACTGCCTCACTGTCTTCTCTTCTTCTTCTTCTGCTTCTTCTTCTTCTTCTGCTTCTCTCGATGGCGGCTGCACCTGAAACATGGCAGCTTCTCCTGCGAGCTGCCCTTGAAACCGCCCTCTGACCAGCCAACCAGCTCCCGCGACCTCTGTTTGACGGGCCGACAAGACTCAACACCTTATCGCAGACGACCTGTCGCTGTTTAGCTTGAGCGTATGATGTAAACCGGACAAAGCTCAAGCTGTCTCCTTCAGGCTGTCCGCTCCGAGCGGCGACCGGTGGCGACGCGGAGACCTTCGAGCCAGGCCTGTATTCTGTGTCTTGTACGGAGTAGATGGAAGACCGATAAACTAATGGCCCGGAGCAGAGGTCGGCATCTGCAGCAGTCAGTCAGATAGTCAGTCGTAGTCAAGGACTTCATCTCCATCTCGTAGTCAAGCTATAGTCACCTTCCCGGCCCTTAAGTGCGCTGGCCTCTTGTCATTGCTGAGGTTGCCCTGCTTAGTCTCTGCTGCTGCTTGTTGCCTGTCGCTGCTTACTTGCTGCTTACTTGCCGCCCCTCTTTCTTTCTCTCTCTCTCTCTCTCTCTCTCTCTCTCTCTCTCTCTCTCTCTCTCTCTCTCGCTTTCTTTGCTTCTCCTCCACTTTCATCAACTCCTCCAACCATCGCGATCAGCCACATCTCCAGCACATCTCCAGCACATCTCCAGTCCCGCCGACTATCTGCAGCTGACAGCTATCACTCCTTTGACCGACTCTCCCTCTACCCCTCCTATCGTCTCAGCGTGCCTCGGCCGTCTTCACCATGGCGGAGTTCGTGCGCGCCCAGATATTCGGCACCACCTTCGAGATCACCACCAGGTGCGTCGACAATACGGCATACAAGATGAAGAGTAGAGATTACTGACTGCCGCAGATACTCGGACCTGCAGCCGGTGGGCATGGGCGCCTTTGGGCTTGTCTGGTAGATATCCCAGCTCTTCCATGTCATCGCCATATCCGCCAGGCTAACTGTTGAAACTGCAGCTCCGCCAAAGACCAATTGACAAACCAGGCCGTCGCCGTCAAGAAGATCATGAAGCCGTTCAGCACGCCCGTCCTGGCCAAGCGGACCTACCGAGAGCTCAAGCTGCTCAAGCACCTGCGGCATGAAAATGTACATCCTCATTCCTTGTAATAATAATATGTATATATACTGACCTTCACAGGTCATCAGCCTAAGCGACATCTTCATCTCGCCGCTCGAAGACATGTACGTGCTCTGCCTCCATCACCGCGCCCATCTGCTGACTCTGACTCGCCGCAGATACTTCGTCACAGAGCTGCTCGGCACCGACCTCCACAGACTGCTCACCTCCCGGCCGCTGGAAAAGCAGTTCATACAGTACTTTCTCTACCAGATCCTCGTGCGCCTCTCTGCATACATCCCTGAACTCTGCATGCGTCGAACTACTTCTGACATCGTCTAGAGAGGCCTCAAGTATGTCCATTCCGCCGGCGTCGTCCACCGCGACCTCAAACCGAGCAACATCCTCATCAACGAAAACTGCGACCTCAAGATCTGCGACTTTGGCCTCGCCCGTGTCCAGGACCCCCAGATGACCGGCTACGTCTCGACGCGGTACTACCGTGCCCCCGAGATCATGCTGACATGGCAAAAGTACGACGTCGAGGTCGATGTCTGGAGTGCGGGGTGCATCTTCGCCGAGATGCTGACTGGTCGACCGCTTTTTCCGGGCAAGGATCATGTCAACCAGTTCTCCATCATCACAGAGCTGCTCGGGACGCCGCCAGACGAGGTCATCCAGACCATCGGCTCTGCCAACGTGGGTGTCTCTTATCAACTTCTATATTCTACGCTTTTGACTAACCTGTAGTAGACACTCCAATTCGTCCAGTCTCTCCCCAAGCGACAGCGACAGCCACTCAGTGAAAAGTTCAAAGATGCAGACCCTCTCGGTATCTATCTCCAACTCTGCCCTGTCAGTAAAGAAATACAAGACTAATTCTTCTAGCCGTCGATCTGATTGAGAAAATGCTCGTCTTTGATCCCAGAGCACGAACCAGCGCTGTCCAGGCTCTGGCCCACGAATACCTGGCCCCTTACCACGATCCTACAGACGAACCAGTGGCCGGCGAACGCTTCGACTGGTCCTTCAACGACGCCGAACTCCCCGTCGATAGCTGGAAGATCATGATGTATGCGGAGCTCCTTTTGCCTCTTTTCCCCTCCATCAACATCAACCCAGACAGCAATACCACCACCACCACAAATCACCTCCTCGCAATATCAATGCCACCACCACAAATCCCTCCCTCGCAATATCAATGCCACCACCACTGCAAATACCACTAACCCAGCCACCCCAAATACCCTGAATACCGCTCTTTCTCCCCCTCTTCATTGTTGCTGGACAAGTTTAACGCTGACTTGTCTAGGTACTCTGAGATCCTCGACTATCATAACGTCGACCAGGTGTCACAGGAGTACACCGAGCCCCAGCCGCCCCCAATAGATATGGCAGCCACCGCCTCGGTGTCCCATCCCCAATGATACGCTGGGTGCAATCCGCGCCATTAATGCATTCATAATGACAATACATACATTAAAGTGAGAGAAAAAAACAACTCGATGAGAAACGGGAAAAGAAAGCAATTAAATGCAACAAAAAACGTGATGGGAGCAATGACCGTCTAATAGAAACGAAAAA